GTGGGGGGGGGGGGCCCTGGGGGGCCCCTGCGACGGGGGCTTTGCATGCACGGGGGGGGCCCTCTCGCCCCGCCCCACAGACGGAGACACTGGAGACATTTGCCCCAGGGGACACTTTTGTCCCCCCGCCACGGCCCACAGCCGCGTCTGCCCCATCGGCTCCTACGGGCCCACCGAGGGCCTCGTGCATGCATGCGAGGCCTGTCCCCCCGGCCGCCTCTGCGACGTCGAGGGTCAGCCCCGCGCATGCATGCATGCGAGCATGCATGCATGCATGCGTGCGTGCATGCGTGCATGCATGCGTGCGTGCATGCACGCATGCATGCATGCACGCGTGCAGGCGTGCAGGGAGGGAGGGAGGGAGGGAGAGGTGGAGAGGCACGTGTGCAGGCAGACAGCTGTGTGCATGCATGCATGCGTGCATGCGTGCATGCGTGTGTGCATGCATGCACGCATGCGTGCATGTGTGCCTGCATGCATGTGTGCCTGCATGCATGCATGCGTGCATGCATGCGCGCGTGGGGCGTTGGGAGCCCCTTGAGTTAGCGACTGGGCGCGTGGGAGTGGGGCCCGCAGTGGGGCGCTGCCGCTGCTACAGCTGCTCAGCTGCTGAGCTGCTGCTGCTGCTGCTGCTGCTGCTGCTGTCTTCCCAGGCCTCGAAGAGGCCCCCGAGAAGCTGTGCACTGAAGGCCACTACTGTCCCCAAGGGGCCATCAGTCCCCGGCAATGCCCCATAGGGACTTTCAACGACAAAGAGGGCCAGGCCGGCCAAGAGGGCTGCCTCAAATGTCCCCCCGGTGAGGCCCTGTCTCCAAACTGTCTCCTTTCAGCAGCAGCAGCAGCACCAGCGGCAGCGCCACCAGCAGCAGCAGCAGCAGCAGCAGGGCGCGCTGGGACGTACGTCCAGCGCTCTGGGGTGCACGCACAGCAGCAGCAGCAGCAGCAGCAGCAGCTGGTTGGAGTGTATGTACACTGCGCAGGAAAGTACTGCGGAGACGCGGGCCTGGGGAGTCCCTCAGGAGACTGCCAAGAAGGGACTTGGTGTCTCTCGGGCTCTCAAATCCCAGACGCTTCTCTCGCCTATCTCCCCAGCGCTGCAGTCCTTTGCCCAGCCGGATACACTTGCCCGCAAGGCGCGGTCAGCATGCATGCATGCATGCATGCATGCATGCGTGCATGCATGCGCGCATGCATGCGTGCATGCAGAGGCCCTTTGTGTTTTTTCTCCCGGCTTTTTCGCCTGCACCTCCCCCGCAGTCTCCCTGCTGCTTCCACCGGAAACAACCGAGCAAATAACCAAAACTAAATAGATAAACAAACAAACAAACAAATGAAAAATAATGTTTTGCTTGCGGGGCTGCTGCAGATTGTCCCCACGCCCTGCCCCGTGGGGACCTTCAAAGAAGACAAGGGGGCCCCCCCCTGCCAGCCCTGCCCCGGGGGGGCCTTTTGTGCCCACGAGGCCCTCACTGCAGCAGCAGCAGATGGGCCCTGCTTCCCAGGGTACTACTGCAAGGGGGCCTCCACCTCGGGGGCCCCCTCAGACCCAGCCCAGGGGGGCCTCTGTCCCGAGCACAAGTACTGCCCCGCAGGTACCCTTTTTCCCCCTTTTGGGGGTCCCAAGGGGCCCCACGCGAGGCCCCACACTGGGGCCCCACACTGGGGCCCCACACTGGGGCCCCACACTGGGGCCCCACAGGGCCCCCACTGTGGGGCCCCCACTGTGGGGCCCCGGCCCGCTGCTGTGGGGCCGGCGGGGAGCCTAAGGGGGCGTGGGGCTGCATGGAGCCAGTAGGCCTGCGGGGCCGCATGCAGCTATTGTTTGCATGCATGCGGAGCTTTGGGGCTGCATGCAGCTACTATTTGCATGCATGCGGGGCTGTGCATTTTGGACTCAGGCTCTTCGGCACCCCTCGACTGCCCCAACGGGACCTTCAACAACTCGCAAGGTGCTGCGTCGCAGCAGTAGCACCTCTCTAAACCCCAAACCCTAAACCCTAAACCCTAAACCCTAAGCCCTAATGCTTGGGCAGCCCCAGCGGAGACCCTGCCGCTGGTGGGGCTTTGCTTCCCCGCACGGGCCGCCGCAGCGGCTGCTGCTGACTCCTCCGCTGCTGCTGCTGCTGCTGCTGCTGCTGCTGCGCAGGAATGAGTTCGTGTCCGCCGTGCGCAGCAGGCTACGTGTGCAGCAACCAGAGCGTGCAGGAGTGTCCCCAGGGGGGCTACTGTCCCCCCGGGCAGTGGGAGGAGACAGTTTGTGCTGCAGGGACTGTGGGGCTAGCAGCAGGGCTGCAGCAGCAGCAGCAGTGCGCAGAGTGCCCCGCAGGCAAAGTCTGCAGCAGCGGCGCTGTCTCCGGAGACTGTCCCCAGGGTCTCCTTTGCCTCGCCGGCGCAGCCCCAAGTGTCTCCAAATCTTCTCTCGACTTTGCGCAGCAGTCTCCGGACTTCTGGACGGGCTCCCAGATCCAGCTCGCGTCAGCCCCACGGCGCATGCATGCATGCACGCTGCATGCATGCATGCATGCAATGTGCATGCATGCACTCTGCATGCATGCAACGTGCATGCGGCGAATGCACCTGCGTGTGCAGCGCATGCATCCAGGCTGCATGCGTGCACAGTCCCTGCATGCAGAGTCCCTGCGCGCACAGTGCCTGCATGCAGAGTCCCTGCATGCACAGTGCCTGCATGCTGCTGCTGCTGCTGCTGCTGCAGGGGGCCGTGTCCGCTGGGCATGTACTGCCCAGCGGGCACTCCAGTGCCGCTGCGCTGCAGCGCGGGAACAGCAACAGGAATAGAAGGAGCTGCTTCGGAAAACGAATGTGTCTCCTGTCCCTACGGCTTCTTCTGCACCGCCGTCACCGTGGTGAGAGTCCCTCTGCTGCAGCACGCAGCAGCAGCTGCAGCAGCAGCAGCAGCAGCTGCAGCAGCAGCAACAGCTGCAGCAACAGCAGCAGCTGCAGCTG